AATGATTAAAGATATCATACTGGAATTCTCCAAGGTTTTTATAGCACTATTGGACTCTACTTTGAACAATAAGAATGTATAATTACTTGTTGCCATTTAGCAAATTTTTTCCCAAAAATATATGGCCGCCATTATTTTTTTTTTTTCCTAAAAATGTATTGTTCTAATACATTTTTTCCAAAAAATGTATGGCTGGCAATATATTTTTTTCCTAAAAATGTATTGCTGGTAATATTTTTCTTCAAAAATTTATTGCTGGTAATAATTTTTTACAAAAAAAATTGTTACTGGTATGAAAATCTACTTTTACACTTTCATAGTGTTTTGACCCCATTTTTGGGGGTTAACTATTTTCCCCTACCTGTGACCCTAATAGGTACTACCACACCAGGTCAGGGTGGACCTGAGGTGGTTCCATGCTCCTCAAAACTTCCTGATCAGAGGCCTTGCTGTTGGATGTAGTTTATCGTCTTACTCAGGATGCAGATGAAGTTTATCGTCATACCCAGGACAGGCAAATGTATCATTCTAACTCCTAATCACACATGTCAGTTGAGTATAAATCTTGGAGTGTACTTATACCTTAATTTTTGCACAGCAATGGCAGTGTACACATGGCATTAAAAGAAATAACACAAGGTTACATACAGCAAGAATAACACAAGAAGAATTTTCAGAACTTGCTTAGATTGTTCAAATCCAACTGCTATATTCACCTGACCTTACACCAATTGATTCTTACCTTTATCGATTACTGAAAAACAGTTTGATGGAGAAAATTATCTCTAATGAAAACCAGGTTCATGAGTTCATTGAGAACTGTTTCACATCAAAGCCTGCAGAAATTTACTAAATAAGTATTGAAGTGCTACCTGCTAAATGGCAACAAGTTACTGCTAATAATGGTTAATATATAATTGAATAATATGTAACTGTAATTTATTTTTGAAGAATAAATTTGATAAACAGAAATGAAAATTTTGACTCAACCCTTATACATACACATAGTTATAAGAAAGAAAGTTATTAAAATCTAATATGATGAAATATTTTATTTGGGAAATATATTAATAATATTGTCATAATAATATTTATACAAAATAATAATTATTATATAATTTCATAAAGTTTTATTTACTTGCAAAAATAAAACTGCTGAGCATTTTAAATAATTGAATTCTAGCTGATAATAGATATCTATGAAATATACTATGGTAGCAAAATGATTAAAATTCCACATTTTCCATAACTCTGGTAGAAACACATGAGTCAGTGAGGGACACAATAAGCATCATAACAAAATAAGAGAGAATTTCCATTCTAATGTTAATGATATTTATGTTTCCTACACAATATGGCCAAATAGAAAATCATGAATCCACTTTTCCTAGACTGTTTCTTTACCAGATATCTTGAAAAAAAAGTGTCTTACCACTAACATGACATTATAATTGAGCAAATAGTACAGTGGTTAAATTCAATATCTGTCTATATCTCTGAGATGAGGTATTACGATTACTTACACTGTTTACAGTATTCGGACTGTTATCCTCATCTTCATTGCCATATTCACAACATTTCAGCCACTGTACGTTACAGCCGTCTTCAGGTGATTGGAATTTCGAACCGGACCCTTTATTTAATTCACCGGGGGATAAATTGTTCTGGTTCCACGTGCCATGCCTCTTCCAGATGTCTCAGTTATTTCCCTTTAACTCAACTTTCAAAGTTTGGTTCATCACTGCTGTGACCTGGTATTGAACTCACAACTTTTTGAGTCTGGATTTGATGGCACATGGCTCAGCAGTGGTGAACCAAACTTGGAGAGTTGAGTTAAAGGGAAATGAGTGAGACATTTGAAAAAGGCATGGCACGTGGAACTAGAATAATCAAGATGAGGATAACAGTCTGAGTAATGTAAATAATGTAAGTAATTTGTAGGCAAATCACACTTTAGTAGCTACCTCACATGCTCATCCAGTCACGACTAAAAAACATGACCCTAATTGCCAATTTTGACAGTGCCTCTTCCTTCTTCGTTTTATAGGTCATGTTCTTTGAGTGATCATGGCACTTCAAAATTTTCTATCCTTCATAGCTCTTAATAAAGCTCTTTGTATCTTACCTATCCTTTCCTATTCTGCTATCCATTTGCACAAACTCATTAGGTCATCTTGGGTAAGAGGTTAAACTACATCCACGTTCTGGGTAAGATGTTAAACTACGTCCAGCAACAAGGCCTCTGATCAGGAGGTTTTGAGGAGCATGAAACCCCCTCTTAATTGCTGGTGTTCCCAGATCCACTGTGACCTGGGGTGGTAGCACCTGTTAGGGTCCCAGCTATGGACAAATAGTTAACTATTACCAACAATACTTTTTTGAAAACAAATTTTTACCAGCAATACAATTTTGGAAATATATTACCAGAAACAGATTTTGACAAAAACAAATATTACCAGATTTTTGTCAGCATTAAAACCCATTGAGGTTGAATTAAACAAAATAAACCAACCCAATCTAAACCAAAGAATACATATTCTAATAAAAATTTTGTTGTCAGCATTAAATAACCCATTGAGGTTGATATGCTGTAAAA